TTGGAACATTTTGAATTTGCATGTAGGTTTTTGTGAAATTAAAATTTCATGTAGGAAATTGATACAATTTGGCAAATTCGTGGGGGAATATGAGATTTTCCCTTATATTAAATAGGTCTTTTTATTTTTTTTACCTTTGGCAAAAAAAATATGGAAATGCCTACTGTAAAAATTCTTTCAACTGGTGCTGTTAGGTATTTTTTTTCTTTAATTAAATAGAAAATTTGTCTTGAAATAAAAAATAAAAGTGATTTCAAATGATAACACAATTTGTTTTGGGTTAAATAATATAATTTTTTAGCACTCAATTAGTCAAAAGGATATTGCGTTATTTATGCAAACCGGGGTAGGCAGCGTGTACGAATCAAGACTTCAACGCTTCTCTTTGTTTTTCCACTCCCCAAATTTTATATTCTCCGAACAAAAATTGTAAGAACCACATGCGAATTTTTTCTAGCAACTCCCTTCCCTTCACTCTCTGTCCTCCATGGCGGCTATATATATATATATATATATGCACTTTTTTTATAATTGTATATATCTATATATATATATATATATATATATATATTTATGCACTTGCTTTCGAGCTTGTGTTGAAGTATGATACTTGCACAAGTACACAAGCTTCCCCGTTTCTCTCGGGCAACCAGATTTGCCTCTCTCTCTCTCTTTCTTCTGTCTTTGGATTTTCCTGCCATTTAGAGAGAAAATTCTGTCCAGGGGAAGAAAAAGAAAATAATCCATCTTTATATATCATTTATGTGTTTCTGAGAGAAAATATAAAATCACTTACACATCTCAGGCCTTGCCACCGAGAAGTCTCCCTCTCGGACATTAACGCACATCTCTCTCTCTCTCTCTCTCTCTCTCTCCATATCTACACACAGAAATTTGTCCGTCTTGATTATGGAGGGAAGGAAAGAAGTATAAGAATTTTTTGGTTTCTGGAATTTGTTTTGTTTTATACAACATCGAAGGAGATGGTCGGGACAGTCAACGGCACGCAGAGTTTCGGTGTCTCCATGGACGTTCTACCGAAAAACAGATCCGATTTGTTCGATGACGACGGCCGGCCCAAGAGAACCGGTAATTTACCAATAAAAAAGTTTTTCTTTTCTCTGTGGTTACATTCCAAATGAAAACTCTAATCTCTGGGCATTTCGTGCAAAAGCAATACGGAGTTTGCATGTTACTAGAAGCGAATTTGAGATTTAACTTTCTGATTTGTTTTCCAAATCAGAATCCGGATCAAAACCAACAAAGTATTTCTCCGTTTTCTTTCGATTTGGACCGAAACCCGTGTCTTGTAATATCAAAATCGATCTGGTTCTGTGATCTGAGGACGAGTTTTGGATGGTGGTACTGGATCAGGAACTGTATGGACAGCAAGTGCGCACATAATAACAGCGGTGATAGGATCAGGAGTGTTATCGTTGGCATGGGCAGTGGCCCAGCTTGGTTGGGTCGCAGGACCTGCAGTTATGTTCTTGTTCTCTCTCGTCACTTACTACACTTCGATTCTCCTCTGTTCCTGTTACCGCTCCGGCGACTCCGTCTCCGGCAAGAGGAACTACACTTACATGGATGCTGTTCAAGCCAACCTCGGTAAGAAGAAGAAAAAAGAAGTCTTTTTTAAGTCTTTCCGCCGTTTTTACCATCTGGGTTTTGCTCAGAATCCCTAATTTCAGCATGGGCATGTTCAAGTTCGAATCTCCATATCATTTTGCCATCTAGGTTTTGCTCAACATGACTAAAGTTTTAATCTTTTTTTATTTTTTTTAAATCTTGTAATAATTATACCATCTGGGTTGTGCTCAGAACCCCTGAAATCAATCTGGGCACGTTCAAGTCTGAATCTTTTCACCCAAACAGAAGCAAAGTTTGAATCTTCCCATCTGGGTTGTTGCTGGGATTCTCAATTTGAGTTCCAATCTGTTTTTGGGGTAAATTCAGGGGGTGTGAAGGTGAAGCTATGTGGGCTTGTTCAGTACCTTAACCTCTTTGGTACTGCCATTGGATACACAATCGCGTCAGCTGTAAGCATGATGTAAGTCAAATCTCCTTTTCAGTTTTGTTTTTTGCATTGTCTGAATATGCCTTTAGACCACAACTTCAGCTCTTTTACCGTTGTTGTTATGTTCCGATTCAGCCAAAGTCAGATGCGTGCCCTATTTTCCTTTGAATCCATCCATCACTTTAGCTGTTAACAAATCTTACTTGAGTCCAAAACGTTCAAGTTGGCTTTAACAGTACTCACCAATAATCTTATTGAAGAGTTGACAATTGACATTGGTGCTTGGAAGTATATGAAGTCTTCCGGTGGGACCAACGATGGAAATTCTGTCGAAGACTCTTTCAGTACTTTTTTTTGTAATTGGTTATTTTGGATAAAGATTCATATTAATCTCGGTATTGGTGATCAACCATGTGATTTGGAATATATGTCTTCTCCCCAGATTTGAGGTTCGAATTCGAGACATGATAGACGCTTTGCACCATATTTTATCGGTTGAACTATCCAATTTTGGGTATCTTTGCGTATTTTCTAACGCTTTCAATTTTTTTCAACGTTTTGAAAGTTAGAATCTGAAAACATGGTCGCCGTGAGATATTTTATCTGTATCTGGTAATTGCTTTTGCTGTGAATCAATGGTTAATTGCATGTTGTTGGACGGTTTCATAGGCTAACTCGTGTTTCTGATGCGAAAACAGAGCAATCCAACGGTCGAATTGCCATCACAAAAGCCACGGAAAAGATCCGTGCCACATCAACGGAAATCCGTACATGATAGCGTTCGGAGTTGCACAGATTGTGTTCTCTCAGATTCCGGACTTTGATCGGTTATGGTGGCTCTCCATCGTCGCCGCAGTGATGTCATTCATGTACTCTTCCATCGGCCTCGCCCTCGGTGTCTCCAAAGTTGCAGAGAACAAGGAAATCAAAGGAAGTCTCACCGGAATCGGTGTCGGGACAGTGACGCCATCTCAGAAAGTGTGGAGAAGCTTCCAAGCTCTCGGGAACATTGCCTTTGCCTACTCTTACTCCATGATTCTCATTGAAATCCAGGTAAGAAAAAAATGTTTGTTTTAATAATATCTGCTGAGAGTTGTCTGAAAGTGGCTCTATTGATGATTCAGGACACGTTAAAATCACCGCCCGTAGAGGAGAAGACGATGAGGAAGGCGACCCTTATAAGCGTGGCCGTGACCACACTCTTCTACATGCTTTGCGGTTGCATAGGTTATGCAGCATTTGGCGATACATCTCCGGGAAATCTCCTGAGCGGAGGTTTCTTCAATCCATATTGGCTCATCGATATAGCCAATCTAACCATAGTGATCCATCTGGTCGGCGCATACCAAGTCTATTGCCAACCCCTGTTTGCGTTCGTCGAGAACCAAGCGTCGAAACGGTTTCCGGACAGCAAACTCATCACAAAGGAGATCAAGATCAGGCTTTTCCCGGGTCGAGAGCCTTACAACTTGAATCTCTTCAGGCTCGTGTGGAGGACGTTGTTCGTGATTCTGACCACGCTGATCTCGATGCTGATGCCCTTCTTCAACGACGTGCTCGGATTCCTGGGGGCGATCGGGTTTTGGCCTCTCACCGTGTACTTCCCCGTGGAAATGTACATAGAACACAAGAGGATACAGAGATGGAGTACGAGGTGGGTCTGTCTGCAGGTCTTGAGCTTCGCTTGTCTTGTCGTGACTTTGGCCTCAGCCGCAGGATCTGTGGTCGGAATCGTAACCGATCTCAAGACCTATAAGCCCTTCAAGACAGATTTCTGAGCCATTTGGAAAACAAGGTTTTATCTTTGACCTTTCTAAAGAGTCAAAGACTTTAGTTGTTGTTGTTGTTGTAACTTTTATAATATATCATTATTATAATTAACCAAACAAAAATATGTCATTGCTACAAGATTCGAGTGGGATTTGTTCCGAAATCTACGAATGTGTTATTATTCAAAAACAAAGGAAGCATCTTTATGAATATTAATCTGTTATGTTAATTACTGTATTAATTAACCAGTTCACTCGCATGGGTTAATTAATGTAATTTGTGTTTGTGGTGCACAGAAAAAAAAAACTAATTTATTTTGTAGTTATAATTAATAAATCCATAATTAAAGGATGAGTCAAAGGGAGGATCAGCCTTTGATGTCCTCAGCCATGTGGTCTAAAGTCCATTTTGGAAACCATTTCTCTTGTCTCATTGTCACCATCCAAAAATGTCAAATTTGTACTTTGTCGTATCTGTATAAAATAAATATATGTGTTTTTTTTAAATTTTAAAATAATTAAACAATACAATTCTTGTTTCCCGAAGAATTCTCTCTGCAGATGAATTGAATTACAAGGGTGTTAAACCACTCACGAACTCCAACTACAAACTCAGAACGGCCACTATTGGTTTCTTTCTTTGTTCCAGTTCGGTCAGTTAGCAGTTTCGGACAACAACGGTAAACTCTCACAAGCAAGAGGGTTTGCGAAGAATTCCAATATTGTATCTTCTAAAAGAAAATATCCAAAATATCTTCATTTATTAAAATTATTTTTGATATACATTTACATGATTACAACAATGACTATATAATTATATTAGTTATAACATTAAATTTATGGTAGTTTCACCAAATTATTAGTTTGATATATAAAGTGTGATTATAATGGTTTGATATGATCACCATAAATTTAACGTTATAATCAATGTGATATGCGATCATATTATCATTTTGGTCACGTGGTTATATCTAGAGAAGGTATATGTGTAGAAATAGTTTTAACAAAAAAAAAGTATTTTGAATAATACTCCGTTCTAAAATTGAAATGATTCTCAAAACATAATGTGAAAATATAATAAAAAATAAAAAATTCGTTAAATTTTATATTTTTTTTATATCCATATAAATTTAATATATCTATTTGAACTTTGGCATAATTAGCATTGGAGGAAACCCCACTAAACATGCGATACCAATTTATTTTCAAAATGACGGGCGAAAATTTTGTCCAGCCGACTAATGTAATGATTTTTGTTTGATATTTTATATTAAAAATGATTTATTTATTCTTCTCGCATAGAAAAATTAATAACTACATGGTAATATTATCATATTAGAACTTATCTTTTTTGTAAGATGTAGTTGGGACGAAAGACATCTGAACTTTAAGATTATAAAAAAATAGTGATTTAAAAAACAATTTAATTTTTGTGATATAAAATTATTTAATCATTTCTTTAAATAAAAAAGGAATCAAGACTTCTCAAGAATAATTTTCGTGATATATTCATAAATATTATATTGATTCAAATGGCAGTTATGTAATGTAATTAAAAAATGCTTAGCAAAAACATCAATGCATACTGCAAATAGTTTTTTTTTCCCCGAAAAAATGATAGTTACAAACCGTAATCTAAAGAAAAACCTATCAATACTTGAAATCGTGTTGAAAATAGGAAAACTTAATATAAACTATACCGAATTATAAAATACTATTTAAAAAATGCAATTTTTAAACTTCCAAAATATTAATCAATTGGTGAAATGATTGTCCATTTTCGTTACATATACGTTAATTCGACGAGTCATATCGACATCGGATGATAAAATTCATTAGTGGATTAATTTTTTTTATACAATAGATCGATTGCATTTGCCTAATTGATGTATTTTTCGGTGTTTAAAATTTTACGTGTTTTTTCACACTCTCAACAAATTGTTTTTATTATATGGGATTTTTTTCATAAAAAAAACATACAATGCTTTGGGCCTAAAGCCCAAAAAGGTTGGTTGAAGCCGAGGAGGACAAAGCCCTTCAAACCCATTTGTCTCCGAACTTATTTGTTCCGCTATGGGCTTCTGCTGTGGGCCCACCAAAGACATACATAATACGGTTATTTTCATATAACTAATTCAATTAAAAAAAACATATACACTTGACTATACAAGAATTGAGAACAAAAAATATTGCTACTAAATACTACTGTTGTGCATATTCAAGAGATACATGCAGGGATCATAAATCGTGATAAACGTTTAGTGATATCAAATTTAATTCAATTTGACTGTAACAAATTATAATGGTGTATATATTATATTATGTCGTTTAAAATATCCGGACTTAGAAATATATGTGGTTCGAAGGTGATTAATTGAATAAGATTTTTAAGTAGGGTTGGAAAAAAAAAAACCCTAGAATTTTAAGTGTTTGGATTGGGTATAGAAATTTGTTGGATAAAAGTATGGAAAAACTTGATTCGGGTACGAGTACAAGACAAATGTCTAACGAGTATCCATATATACCCGAGATCATACACAATTATCATTTTGCTCTCAGTATTTAAAAAAATGTTATTGTGTATATATATATATATATATA